ATATGTTTTAAATGATTATGTGTTTGTTCCAACATAATACAAAATCGGTTTACGTTCTGTCGAGATTCTAAAATTGGTGTTCCAACAAACTTTGAACTGATATGGAAAACCCTAGTGGTGCCCTCCAGTCACGTAAGATCTTCTTCGGGTTTGGTTCAACTCTACCAATTTTGATTTAATCTAAAAAAAAAAATTGATTTTATGATGTATCCTGCCTCCTGCTTTTATGCCCCCTGTTATGACTCCTGCCTTACCTTTTAGTCTGCCTTGTACTCCGCTCTCCTGGTTCCTCTCACTGACTTCTTTCCAAAAATACTAATTTTTTTTCTTTCCTCTTTATTGTAACTCTTTTAAATTTCTTACTATTTTATATTTTAATATCTTTATTTTATTTCAAATTTAACACATATCTCTTTTATAATTTTCAGCTATCAAACGTTTTCCAATACGGTTTGCACAAGTGCGTATGGAAACTATAGACAGTTAGCATTAGAAAGAGTAGGAAACGAATAACAGCAATGCCAGTTTATACGGCCCGGCCAATATTACAACGCCGTATATTAATATCATTTTTAATAATATGTTTTATCATATACATTTTAAAATATTTATTTAAGTGAGTGTGTTTTTTTATTTACTTATTTATATCTGTTTATTTTTATCGATTTTATCGATTATCCCCCATTTATTTTTATTATTTTAATATTCTGCAAATCCAGGTGTGTACAATAATATCAATAAGAACCACATTTACACAATGTTCGTTTTTATTATTTTTTTAATTGTATTTTTTGCAATGTGACTTAAGTAGTGAAAGGGTAGGGGGTATATTTTTTGAGTCCACCTTGTTGGCCAAAGTCGTGATAATGGATCCAAAGAAAAAAGTGAGCCAAGAGGGGCCGTGATCTAAAGATAGGTTTGGGCACGTGTGCACTAAGATTCACGGTTGGAACTTTGTTGGAATGCTGCCTGCAGTTAGTACGAGCGATATATCTCAAACATCTAAACTTCCTGCCTTTTGACTTACTAGCTTTTTGTCTGGTTGAATAATGAACATTAAAGATTATCATTGTCAGCTGCACAAAACATCAATTTTTATTAATTTAATATTAAGAAGGTATTCATAGGAAGGTATAAGATACAGCTTACGTCCAATATATTATTATGTTAACACTAAATAGATTAGATAGAGACATACAGTGTCAGTCACTGAACGATTTCCAATACGTTTTTCACAAGTGCATGTGAAAACTGCAGAGAGTAATTAATATAATTAATAAAATTAATTAATATAATTAATATAATTAATATAATTAATATAATTAATATAATTAATATAATTAATATAATTAATATAATTAATATAATTAATATAATTAATATAATTAATATAATTAATATAATTAATATAATTAATATAATTAATATAATTAATATAATTAATATAATTAATATAATTAATATAATTAATATAATTAATATAATTAATATAATTAATATAAATAATATAATTAATATAATTAATATAATTAATATAATTAATATAATTAATTAATATAATTAATTAATAATATACCAAACAGTTTTCTACGTAAATCTATTCACCAGACGTATTTATTATATATCAGGTTCTTTGTTAGCGATCTGTTAATTAAAACTAGTTCATTAGATAATCATTTTATAAAGCAATGCAAGAATGGAGCAAAAAACGAATAAACATAACGTAAGCCAAACAAAGACACATAACGTAAGTTAGTTTGAATTCCTAAACTCCAATAAAGTCATTTGGCTTTACAAAGACTCTTTCGTAACACGTAATTGATTGGTTTGTATTTTGTATGTCTTGTGATCGTGACTCTTAGAACGATGTAGTTATTTAGTAGTTAAAGAATGCAAGTGGGGAAAGCAACAAAAGATACGATACAGTTTACCAAAACAAAACTAAGGATTTAGGAAAATAAGAAAAAGTGACAAAAAAGACAAATGTGAGATTGAGAGAAGAGCTGAGGGCAGTGGTGGCTTGTGGGCAAAACAGGGGCTCACAATGACAGAATATAGATCTAGGTAAAAAACAATGAAAACTTTTTACCTAAATTTTTACTGAGACCTACATTCTCTCATTGTGAACTCCCATTTTTTTTGGCCACGAGCCGCCACTGGCTGAGGGTAACGAGATATACAAAGAATATACGGTTTTACATACTTGGAAATCCAGAGCCAGTTGTAAGGTCATTTTAATTTACTAGCATGAAAAACTTTGTCAGATGTTTAGACTGAGAAATTTGACGTTGATGTATATCAGATAAATTGTATTATTATCAAAGTTTACTTTTCCATAAATAAATAAGCCGTGCCTACCGCTTCTACTATTTTGTATGAGCACAAGCCAAGCGGGAAAGGAGGAAAGGAACGAAAACACCAAACACCAAGGAGCGGCAGGGGGGGGGAGACAAATTACGACGAATTTTAAGGCGTCATGAAGCGTCGTCGTCGTCGACGACGACGGCTCAGATGTTTGGCGTACCACAGCCGATCGTCCCTTCATGGGGTATTCAACTATATAGGGTGGCCAATAATAAACAACATAACAATCTTCATATTTAATTAAATAACTTTGAATACAAAATTACATACTTAAATATTTTTTAATAAATTTGTAAAAATTATAAATACATTTAATTCGATATAAATATACATAAATACAATTAACAAAATTTGAAAATGTAAATATTTGACTTTTAAAAATTTCTATATATCATTAAATAAATTTAAATACTTTTAAACACATTTAAAAACTTTTAAATACATTTAATTACTACCTCAAAATTTACGCTGAGGTGTAACATTCTTGACTGTCAGATTTGATATGGGAACAGTATTTAAAATGTTTTTGTCTTACATTCCAAATCGAAGACATTTGGTCACTAGAAATTATCAAATTTAAAATAAGGACCAAAATTTACGTCATATATATTATGTACTATATTTTCTACTGATCGAGTCACAGGCTATTTTTAACTCATTTTTTTTATATTTTCTTTGTATGCTGTCTTGAAGCCCGTGTGTTAATAAGTCATTCCAGGAATGAACTTCATTTCATCAAAATATTTGTCGATTTAATAATAAAAATATATGTGTATTAGGATAAATAGAGCTCAGAATTACATTCGTCCGCAGTCGCTTGGTCTGACGTTTGGTTTAGTATTAGTGGTATGAAAACTAACCATAAAAAAGTGACACTATCTCCCGGACTATAAGGGTGAATCTTTTTAATATAGTTTATTCAAAAAGAATGTATTTTGGATTCAGCATAGTTTGTGTTATCTGACAGGATATAGTTCTGTAATCAGAAAGAATATACAGGGATAAACGATAAGGTATATAGGAAGTTCCGAGCGTTTATTTTTTTGTTTTTTAAAGTAATCAAAACAAATTTTTGTAAAACTATTTTTATTTTAATGAGAGCTAAGAACAACAAATTTACAAAAATAGACATTTAATAACGACACAAAAACGTAGGTAAATGAACTTATTTCTAGATTATAATCGTATAAATAATAAAAGCATAAAAATGCTCTTTTTAACTTATGCTATTTAAAATTAAAAATTAAGGCAAACTTTACCAAAAAAGTAAGCGAACAAACGCAAAACTTACTTCTAATCAGAATCAAATATCTTTCTCCTTGTACAGTATACGAAAGGTTTTTTTAAAGAATTCGTGATATTGTGACAATATGGCAATTTCTGACATAAGTAATTCAGATGATCAAATTTTTTATTTGATATCGCAATTTTTTTCTGTCGACTTTATTGAACCAAATTGATAGGTAATTTTTCCTAACTGTGCATTCTTCAAGTCAAAACAAGTTTATTTTCAAGATAATTTTATTCTAGTATTGGTAAACAGAACTAACGCGTAGCTATTTTAGACAGAACTTATCTCCATTAGCTGTCAGACTTAGGTCTATACTGTAGTAGTTATTTTTGCAGAACAAATCTCCGATTAAAATTTGACTTAAGATGTATATGGTTTAAGATATAGACCGTCAGATAGTGACCGATTTAGGTGCCCCATTTTCGCATACAAGCCTTGAAGAGGGTTTAATAGTACATCGATGTTGAGTATAACCTTTCGTTTTTGTTAGGGAAAATCGAATTTTCCATGTGTTATCCCCAGCAACCACTCGTAAATTTCCTTTCATTCTACTTAAAATCGATGTACTTTTCAACCCTCTTCGAGGCTTGTATGCGAAAATGAGGCACCTAAACCTGTCACTGTCTGACGGACTAGTAGGATAATTCTGCATTCAAATTCAAAAAATTACCCCCATTTTTTTTCAATGATTACATAGTTTTTATTTGAATAGATACACCAATTTTTTTGAAAATATCCAAATAGTTTTTGAAAAATTATCTTACCCAATTTTTCGTTATCTATATTTTTTTTTTAGAAAAATATTTCGTTTTCTGGTTACAAAAGTTACCTCCATTTTTAAATCACCCCTCTCAAAAAACCCATTATAGAAACCATTGCCCCTTTTTTGAAAATTTCCCCTTATCGGATTTTCTTTCGAAATTTACTCCAAAATAAAAAAAATATATATAAATTACTCATTTCCCGAAGTTATTCCATTTTTTAAATGATTTAAAATTTTTTAAAAATGCACCACTTTCAAAATTATCCAACTTTTTTAAAAATTACCTTTTTTTTTTCGAAGCTCACCATTTTTCAAATTTGCCCCTTTTCTAAATTACCTCTTTTTATAGGATAGATACTAAGTAATATAGGTAGAACATAGGCATCAAAGCCGTAATGGTTTGAACTATCCTAATCCATTAAAAACCGAAAATGACAAATTTTGGAGTTAGGCTACTATGTTCTTAGTAAACAAAAAAATATTAATTTCGCAAAGATCATATGAACATACGACATACTTCTATTTAAAAGAGTTTTAATTTTTTAATTATTTTAATAAAAAAAATATATATTTTTGTTATAGGTGCCAGGAACTACTTATTCCATGGTGCTCCAATGAAAAGTAAGTAAAACTTACATTTTTTTATGGTAGATTTTTTAAAATTGTAGTCTGACCTGAAATAAAAAATATTACAAACACCAAAATTGTAAAAAAATACCTTTGAGGCTTCAAATAGTTATACGAGGATGCATTTTTTTTTTCTTATTTTTTTCTCGTCGCGTCAGTAAAATAATGTTTCCCTACTAGATCACACGCGTTAATCTACTTGCATTTCACGACGCGGGTTCAATCCCCGATAAAAGCAATAATTTTTTATTTTATAAATAAGAAAAAAATACTATTGTTTACTTATTTTACATTTTATTTATTATGCTCTCACCTCTACAGTTGGGCAATTCGTTAAAGTTTTTTCTATTTATTTTGTACCTTTTTGATAATTAAAAAAAATATTGTAAAAAACGTGTTTGTTCATAGTGGTTCATCTTTTATGTTGTATTAAAAAAAAGAATGAAAAATTTTATTCCAATATTTTTTGTACTTAATAACTGGAATCACAATGATTTAAATTTCTACAAAACGCCATCCGAAAAACACCTTAAAATTTATTCAATAAGGCAAATTAAAACAAATTCAGAACCAGCCACCACATCTTGATTGAACCTACATATCCAAATTTTTTAATTACATGTTTTTGATGAAATTATTTTGTGGTCGTAGAAAAAATATTTATCAATACCACCTCGTATATATTTTATTTGTTGTACTAGGTGTAAGTTTTCTGCACTAATCGCATTTGATTTGTTCAGTGTAGCTTCAAAGACACATACTTGAATGTAGCATATACTTTTGATAAGTATGACATTTCGAATACAGTATCGAGTATGACATTAGTGCAACAAATAAAATTCATTATTAGATATATCAACTCAACTTTTGATGACACTACGCTTCTTCTACTGGTGTTTTCTTCTACCCTAATGTTTGTCTTTAGCCAGTAACTTTGCCTTTCTTGCATTTATTTTTATTCCTATTTTATTGGCATAATTTTTTAATTTTGCTTGTTTTTCCTGACTGTTCGTTGTAATTTAAGAAATATACTCAGCAATTTCCATATCTTCCAATTTTTGGATGTCTCCATAGCGATTACAAATAGTAAACTCAAAGCCCAATTGTCATGTAGCGATCATATAATAACAACATGTTTTCTAATCGTGGTTTTATACCAATCATCAAAATCAATCGATTACCACAGCTCAGCATGTCTTATTGGCGAGAACTTCGTAAACAATAAAATCCTGATGTAAGGAATTAACTAGTTACATGAAATTAAATGTTTCCATGGGAGTCACCACTTTGAAAGCTATTCGCCAATCAACTGCAACCACAACCTACAAATAGCATATACTAAATACAACCTAGTATGTAATAAAGGATATCGGTGGCGTGGCCCATTAAACATTAATTTCAATTACATTATACTAATACAGGACGATATGCAGAATCGCTGAGACACATAACTTTTTCTTCCGAGGGGGATACCCTCTTATATCATTTTAAAACGGTTACACGCTCAAATAAATTAATGTCAAGATTTGGCTCGATCTGAGTGTAATTTATAATTAGTTATTACATTTGGGAAGCATTGTACGAGAAAAGGATGAATAATTTTCAGCCTAGGAGAGAAAATATAAAATACAGTGTTGTCTGATCGTCAAAATAGTCGAGGAATGTAGGAAGTTTCGAAAATGTAGGGTTATATAATTTTTTTTTGGTCTTAACTACTTTGAAGAAGAAAATTCAAGTAACTAGCATCTTGGAAATACTTCACGAAAACATATTAAATATAAATCAGTCGAATGCAATGTATTTTCTTTTTATAACACACCTTTTTAGCTTGATTACTTCTAGTACTCTATTTATTCCAATGTCCTTAAATAAAACGAGCAATAATACGTAACAATAAGGATAAAACACACACTGAAGGATATTTGGGGTATTTTTGATCTAAATTCACTATCAAAATAACAAATTTTCCGTTTTTAAGCTGTGAATGTATTACAAAAACTACTTAGATGAAAGTTTGTATTTGTGTACGAAATATGGGTTGCCTGCGCATAGTAGCGAGTTTTTAACCGGATTTATGACAAGTGATAGATTATATCCCGAAAACGTCAGCGCAGTAAAAGCTGTTCGTCTTATTCCCGCCCAGGTAGTGTCATTACTGCTAGAATACTTATACTGGGGTTTCGTTATTCGTCCTTTATTTTCTATGGTCTTTTTAAAACCACCCATTATTAAAGAATCAATGAGTCACGCAAGTTATAATACAACTATAGTGTTTAATCGCATTTTAAGGATATGATTACCAATAATTATGATTCAATATTAAATTGGATTAGGTATTTGAAAATTTATTTGTGCTTTTTTAAGACAATATACATTCAATTGCAGTTACCATTTCAATGAGCGAGGTTATCAAGGAAAACATTGTTGACCTACCAATATTTTGATTTTGCGATTGTTTTAAACTGTTTTGATAAAAACCAGTTATTTAAATGATGTTTCTACATATTTATCTTGTTATTTACAATATTTAAATCATTAATAATTGTTAAAAATTCTTTCAAACTTCAATAAATTATCGCTTTAATGTGATGATAATACGATGTTGATCAAAAAATAAAGGAGTTAATAAAAAATAAGTAAACATCTATACTGTTCGTCCAAATAAGTATAGAAATGATATATAATGTTTAATGCTTCCAATACTAGAAAGTGTTGTTGATGCTAGATAATAGTAACTGAATATTAATTGTTTTTCAATTACTTGTTTTAAAAACTAGAGACTGTTTTTTTCTCTCTCTCCCGCTTGCTTGCTTGCTATTATTGCTTTCTATGTGTTAGTACAGATGTACCGAGTATCCAAATAAAGAACACCGGCTGTCAGAATCTGTAGCATAATATCTGTATCTGTAACGTGTGGAGGGTGGGTTACCCCCCACGGCACTTAGGCCTCATTAGGCCCATTATGCATCCTCCTAAGATGATAGTCACCTCCTAGCTCGTGAACCAGCCTACAGATTTAACGTAGTTGACAACGTCGCCAAGAGGTGCTTCTCTTATATCGGCTGGTGTTAGTTGATACTCGCCGAACACAAATCTAATAAATGAGAGTGTCATCTTCTTGTTCGCACCCTCTGCAGAGTGAGAATTCTGACAGCTCCATGATATGGAGATGCTTCCGTACTTGGCAATGACCAGTCAGAATGCCTGTGACTAGGCGCAGATTCTGTCTAGTCATAGTCAAGTATTTGTTTGCTACAGTGTTCCCTAGCAACTCTGCAGTTTCTTGTTTCATCCCATCTTCCCTTGAATTTCACAAGGGAATGTTCTTTGATTAGGTCTGTCACTACCGATTTTGTCAGGCCAATAGAAGGGCCAGGTTCAAAAAGTTTTTGGTTGGCTGCTTTCCTGGCAGTGAATCATCTTAAGGTGACCACATTGTTGATGGATACTTCGGTCAAAGCTTTGTAACATTCTAGTACTAACCCTGAATAAATTCGTGGTCTGTTCAGAGTGAGTAGGTCTTGTCTGCTATCTGTATAGATGAGCATGTTCCTTCCAGTGATATTGTTTTTGGTTATTTCTTTGGTTCTGCTATGAGAATCCCCGTCAGCTTTGTTTGAACTACACTGGCACTGTTCGTCACAGCCCATTTTATGAGGGTGTCGAGGACCATATTCCACAGTAGAGGTGATATCACCCCTCCCTGTGGACATCCCCTCTTATATTATTCACATCTACACTTATGTTTACTACTCGCTTTGAGAGCATGTTATGTATCCACCCACTAACCATTTGTGGAACATTCCTGTTGGTTAGTGAGTGTATTATCTTTGGGAAGGTGGTTTTATCAAAAGCACCTTCTATGTCTGTGAAAACACCCAAGGCGGACTCTTTATTGTCCAGGAATTTTTCTATTCTTCCAGCAACTAGATGAAGCGCTGAATCGGTAGATCTGCCTGGGTAGTATGCATTTTGGTTTGGGTGTAGTGGTGTTGTAATCACCGCATCCCTTATGTACCTTTCGCATAGCCTTTCCAATGTCTTCATGGAAAACGATGTCAGACTAATTGGTCGGTATGTTTTTGGGACAGTGTAATCCATCCTTCCAGGTTTGGGTATAAATACCACTTTTACCTCTCCATTTTTTGGGGATATACGTCACAGCCAACGAGGATCTGAATATACCCGCCAGGTGCGGTGAGGGTTCTTCCAGACCCCACTGAAGTAGGGCTGGATAGATACCCTCAGGTACTGGCGATTTAAATGGAGAGAAGCTGGATAGACATTGTCCATCTTATTTTTATCATCGTCTACAATGTGTTTGGCAGTTTGCCAATCATAGATAGATGGATTGTATTCTTCCTCTGCCTAGTCCACCACGTCTGTGATGACCGAGTCAGGAAAGTGTGTTGACAGCAGAAGTTTGATGCTATCTTAGAGGTTGGCAGTTTTCGTACCATCCTCTTTGATTAGCGCACCAATGCTTCGGTGTGGATCTTCTGAGAAAGCTTTTTGAAGCCTCGCTGCCTGTGGGAAATCTTCGATTTCTTCGCAGTAGGATCTCCATGCAGCTCTCTGTTTTTGTTTGACGATTTTTTTGTATTCTCTGAGGTGAGATTTGTAAGTATCCCAGTCCTCTTTGAGTTTTGCGGCTCTTGCCTGATTAAAAGATTTCTTAGCCATCTTCTTGAGGTGATCCAACTCGTGACACCACCATGCGGTAGTCGTCTGATCGTGTTGGACAAGCCTCAGGGGACAAGATTTCTTATATGCATTGTTTATTGTGCTTTGGATAGTGTTTGAATACTTCTCCAAAGCATTATTGTTTGGTTTTTCGGCCTCCATCTCTCCCAGAGCCTCTTGGAGAAGGTAGGCATAGATTGTCTTGTCCGTTTTCCTAGGGTTCTGAGATAGCGTGGAGGTCAGCAACATCAAGTTTATTTTGAATGTTAACCAGCGGTGATCTGACATCAAAATGTTATACACTTGCCAGT